AAAGTGGTGTTGCCACAGTCTGTAGATCAAGCAAATCAGCTATGAAAGACACAATGCTTTCCTTTTTTTCCCTAAGACACAATGCTTTCCTTTTTTAGTCTGTATGTTTCTAAAAGTAGTATAGTCTTTTTTATTAACAGACATTCACAAAATGTACATGCTTTCTTGGTGTCTGTTCATATTTACCTCAGAAGCTGAATGGAAAAACCACAAAGTTGAAGAGGGAGCCAAATCACATTGTCCTTCAATGTTCCTGCTTATTTCTAATAGGTTTTTTTCTCCTGCCTCTGCCTCCTCTTTGAAGACAGAGATCTAGTGTACAATGAAGGTGGTAGAGTAGTGCTTCTGGACCTGTTGCTTCCTATCAATACCAACTGAGAGTGGCCACAGAGAAAGGAAACGAACCAGGACAACACAGAGCTCCCCATTCCCAACCTTGAAGCTACAATAGATATTAAGGCCTCTGAGAGGTTAAGCAAAACAAGGATGAACACATTACTCTTATCCCACTCTCAACATAGATCATCAAAAAGTGTAAGCAGTGCTATTTCTGTCCCATATTCAGGCCTGAACCCTGAACTGGAAAGGGTCTAAATAATTCATTTCATCCAGGAAGATCTGTAACTGCTGTATAACCACCTTCTCAACAACCTTCCCCCAAAAGGGAAGATTGGAGACAATAGTGTGCTGAACTAACGTGAGTTTCTTTTTCTTTGGTCTACGAACAGCTGATTTTGCCACTATTTGGTGGTTTTGCTCTTTGTTTTTTGAAGGAGAGTGTCACAGTTGACTTGCTACGCAGACCTGCTTGCAACCAGATAACAGTAACAGGAGCAGGGAGGAAAGGCATTGGAATGTAAGGGAAGCCTGGGAGGGAAATTTGGAATGCAAGTGTCTGACTGGAAGCCTGAGTCAGACCCAATACCCAAAGTCACCAGCTGGGAATGTCTGAGACAGACAGGCTGTTAGATAGATGGGTGAGGAAGGAGCCAGACTCAGGATTACAGGAAAACTCTTTATTTACAACCAGAACAAAAAAGCCAGCAAACCTGGCCAGCTGTCCAACACTTCAGCCACTGATGGGAACTCATTCTTCCCACCAGTGGCTGAACCAATAAGTGGAGTCTTACGTCAGACTCCACCTTGCAAGTAACAATGTAAATGTAACGTCATGCATATTTAAACACCACTCCCTTCTTGGTTCAGGCTGACCAATTGCCACATATGCGGTAGACGTAATCTTCCAGGTAGGCCGGGCTTCTGTGGGTGCGACTGGGCCTGTGCAGTTCATTTGTTCCCGAGGTGACAGCCTGAATGGACAGTTCTGCCGCTGCTCCAGACTCTGCCCCTGGAAACGCCTGGAAAGTTTTCGGGGGCGTTGCGATTCTGTTGAGCTCGAGGCCTCAGAAGTACTACGCTGGACTCCTCCCCCCGCAGCTAAGTTTCCCGTTGTTTTCCTCGGGGTTTCCCTTGCTAAATTGTGTTTCTGTGGTGTTTGATCCTTCCTGGGTGTCGTTGTTGCAGGGGGTGTTTTGTGTTGCTTGGCTTCGGTTTGGGGCTGAATTAGGCGGCCTCGCAGTTGGTCTATGTGCCTGTTCCATGTTTTTCCCCTTCTACCTCCAGTCTGTACGATCTAGGTCCAGTACTTTCAATTACTTTTGCCGGGACCCAGGTTTCCCCTCCCGTGTAGTTGTGTGTGTACACTGTGTACCTGGTGTGAATGTCCTGCATCTTCCTGTGGAGTCTAGGGGGTTGTTGTTTGTGTAATTTGGATGGATTCTGTCTAGGGTAGACCTTAATTTCCTGTTCATAAGCATTTCTGCCGGGCTTCTATTTGTTGCTGCACTGGGAGTTATGTGTTGGATTAACAGCCATTTGTCAATTTTCTCTTGCCAATCACCAGAGCCTAATTTCTTTAGTAACTCTTTGGTTGTTCGTACCATTTTTTCCTCCTGCCTGTTCAACGCCGGGTGTGCTGGCACCGATAGGGCATGCTGAATTCCTAGTTGGGCGAGAAAACTTTCGAATTGCTGTGCCACGAATTGTGGCCCATTATCTGACACCAGCACGTCGGGTAAACTGTGGGTGGTGAATAATTTCTGCAGCACTCTGATTGTAGCCTCAATCATGATGGATCTCATAATGACCACCTCTAACCATTTAGAATAGGCATCGACCATGATTAAGAAAGTTTGCTCCTGGCAGGGTCCTGCAAAATCCATGTGTATGTGACCCCATGGTGCTGAGGATTTATCTCATTTAAGGGAGGGGGCTGCAGGAGGGTTCAGTCAGGATACTTGACATGGTGAACATGTGGCCACCCAGGTTTCAATGTCTTTTTCTATCCCTGGCCACCAGATATAACTCCTCGCTAGGGCTTTCATTTTTACTATCCCTGGGTGCCCTTCATGTAGTAATTCTAGAGTTCTTTTCCTTAATGGTTGCGGTACCACTACCCTGTCTCCCCATAACAGACACCCCATAACGCTGACAGCTCTAGCTGCCTGTTTTTAAAAGGTTTGAATTACTCCCGGGACTTCCGGTTTGTCGGCTTCGCTAGCAGCAGGGATTCGCGATACTGCGCGATCCCTGCGGCGCTAGCCATTTTGGTGCCTCCGATCCGGATGGGTTTGGAGGCTAAGGCTGCCCTGCAGGGGCGGCTGAAGATAGGGGGGATCCGGAGAGGGGTTTGGGGGTGTTGCAGACCCCCTCCCCGGCCGGCAAAACCCCCTTTTCTCAAGACGGTGCAGCGGCGGTCTGTAATGGCCGCCACAAAGAAGCCGGCAGCTGGGTAAGAATGTGCAGGAGGAAGAGGAGAAAGTTTTTGAAGTGAAAGTTTTTCTTGGCTGACCCAGGACTTTAAGACACATTTAACATCCTGAAAACTATGGCTTTTTGAATGATACTTTCCAGAAGAGAATTATAAGCGGCAATTTTGAGGTGCTGAAAAGGAAAGTTTACTCTCCTTCCCTATGGAATCAACAAATGGATATTGAGAAACCTGTCTTTTTATAGAAGGTAAAAACTTGCTTTTTGTGATTAGTGGGAAGGGAGAGGATATATATATATATATATATATATATATATATATATATATA